CTTAAGACTGGAACTAACTCTTTGTGGGAACTTCATTCCCCATCTTCGGCTGTGTGGGAAACTGTTCTTCCAGGCTTGATGAACAATGAGTGACTAAAGCTTTGGAATACCTTATGATTCTCCTTCTTAGGGGGAACAGAGCAGGGATGGATGGACTGCTCAGGACTATTGCTTATACCTGAGCATGACAGGTACTGTGAACTGAACTTCTTTGGGTTTGGATTAATATCTGTCATGGTTTAGAAACAGTACTTCCAATTCACTGTCCCCTCCAAGGCTCTCCAAAACCACACACCCATTCCCCTTTGCCCTTCCTCCCTTCCCCTTCCCTATTCACTGGAGTGGCATTGAGAATTGGAAGCACAAAAGGCAAAGGTCATGGGTTAAGGTAAGAACAATTTACTGGAAAAAGAGATGAGATAAGAAAATTAGCAGTAACGGTGACAATACTGTAATATATGGTAGGAAATAATTCATGCTATATAGGTATATATATGTGTGTATGAAATATTGTGTAGATCCAAAGTTATGTCTTTGACCCACTGTGGCTGGGAACAGAGTTCTATTTTCATGTAACCAGTTCCTGGACAGCGTTAAGATAATATCAGATATGTTACCGTATCAATGGGACAGTCCCGGGCCATCCTCTATGATTTCCCTGGCATCTGCACAGGGGAGACAGCATCTCCCTTCCTGGACCATGATTGATGGAATGTCTCAGATACTCACCAGACCTGCACCTGGAATGATTATATCTGCTGTGCTCAGGAACCAGCATCACTCTACTACATGTGAATACAGCCTCTGCCTGGACCCTGGACACTCAGACATTCATCTGGATCTCTGGATTCGTCTTTGTTCCTGCACATGTATGGAGGCAGCTCTACATGTGAGGAGACACAAAGAAACGTGTGGTCACCCCTGCCTCAGGCAGAATAAACTGTGTATGAGCTGGCTGCTGGAGGCACTGGGGTGAACCACTGGGGACACGCTGTCACTCTGTCAGTTGAACCCTGGTTCACCCAGAGCCTGCACCCGGGGCTGACGCTGTCTTGGCTGTGGTGGTTTTTCGAAATTCTATTTTTTGTTATCGATCCAATAAATCTTTGTTAAATTTTTCATAAATTTGGCTACCAATTTGATAATTTATAACAAATACTGATGACAGAGGTTATAAGAAAAGAAACTACTCACATGGGGGAAAAAAGCCCCAGTTATAGAAAATACTGTTTTCTCAATATGAAGGAATCCCTTCTCCCTGAAAAAGTGTCACTTTCCCCAGCAATGGCATGAGGTGGTTCAGAATAACCTCAGTGTCCTAGCCATGCCTCCTCCCAGCTACAAAAAATTAACCCTGTCCTGACCAGAACAAGGACATTATTAAATCATTTTAGCTGCAGACTAACAATAGCAGTTTTCTTTACCTTTTTTTTGGTGGGAATGTTGCAAATATAAAGAATAAAAGTACATTGGGCTTTCACATTGTTTTGCTTCTGACCCTTATGCTTTGATCCCCTACTTAATTCTTTTTCTTAGATCTTATGAGTAAATATCTGCCTTATACATCCAGTCTCACAGCAGGCTTTTTCTCAACATGAGCCACAGTTGCTTCTGGGTGCCCCTTTACCTTCCCTCCTCCCCTTGGCCAGGGGTGCAAACCCTGCCTCAGTAAAGCACCCTGCTGCCTCCACAAATGGCTGATTGTTTTGACTCATTAACCTCTAAGATATCAGTTTCTCACAATGGCTTTACATTATATTTATTCTCCTGGTGGTTTAGGAAAGAGCTCCAATCCATGGAGCCTGCATTCAGGCTCACCTGCTGGTGCTCATCCCTGTTATCTGCACTGGCCTGCCATTGAACTGCCCTGTGGGGCTCCAGTACTGCCTGTGTCTGGTTTTCCTCTGCACCACCAAGTGAACATGGGGCCAGAGGGAAAGGAGGAGGGCAGGAAATCCATGGGAGCAGACTCAGGCCTTGTCCCAGGAGGGATCCCGATGAGGTTCCCAGAGCTGGGAACCCTGAGGTGATTTTCATCTGATGAGCTGTACCCAGCCACACCCTCCTGTACAGGTGGCTGACCTAATGGTTTTCCAGGCACACCAACACTCCTTCTGGGATTTTGTACATCCACCCTTGCTGTCACTGGCACAGTTACCATATGTTATAGAGGAGGACTTACTTTTTCATCATCAGAGTCCAATTCCTAGGAACACCAAGCTGCAGAAATACTGTGTCCTCCCTTGGGTCAGATTTGTGCATGTGTGAGACACAAAGGGAAGGAAAAGAAAGGTGGCCTTTTCCTTCCTCTGTTTCTGCCCACAAGCCATGGCAACAAACATACTAAATCTGAATTTTCTCTCTTTTTACTTTATGACCAAGAAAAGTTATGAGGGAGCAACCACAGGGGCAGCATTTGAGAACCCAAACCAGAGGCTGGTTTGGGGTTGGCCTATAGAGCACCAGACCAGATGGTCAAACCATGACAAAACAACAGGTTTTGAAAGCTGAAGGGGGATTCTGTATAAACTGACTCAGCCCTTTGGAGACATACCAATCAGCTCCTGCAGCAAAGAAAAAAGACCATAAAGCAGATCCATTCCCTTAGCCAAGTGCAAATAGTACTGTTCTTCTGCTGGAAAGGTTATACTTTGACATAAGCATTACAAAGTGTTTTTCCTGTCAGTTAGAGGCCACACACATAGAGAGTGGAATCATGGAGTGGTTCAGTAACTCAATTAGACACTTGGACAGCTTGCATTTCCTCAGTAAAAAGGAAGTTTTGCTGTTTATCTCTCTCAGCACTGATGGCTCTTGCATATCACAGTCCACTGCACAGTAAGTGGAAGGTAGCTCTTGCTGCCAGCTTTTAATTTGTTTGTTTTTCCCAGATTAAAGGGCAAAATCATTACACATTGGCTGACCAATTCATTTCACATGAGCAAAGATGCTAGTTAAGTACCTGGTTTCTAAATGAAAGTTTAATGATTTGACACACAGCAAGAAAAACACAGGCTCTTTTAGGTTTTATCCTCAGACACACACGGAACAATTTTTATTTCTTGTAATAAGAGGTGAGCAGCACAGGTCTGTGGCTGCAGAGGGGAGCATGTCACTGAGTGCTGACCTTTGCTAACCTCACCTGGGCAGGTCACAAAGCCATCATCCTCCCACTAAGGCAGTACCTGTACTCCCACATCACAGGGCACCACAGCAGCATTACCCTCTCCTCATGTCTTCTTGCTCAGAGACAGAGGGAGATCATTGAATGAATATGAAACTGAGTAAAATTCAGAGCTCTGGTTCTGCTTGTGGTGTTAAAATTGAGGTATTGCTTCAGGTAATTTTAAAGCAGTACAAAAACTATCATCAGTAAGTTTCACATATACTCTACTCACAACTTTCTCATGTAATAAAAGTCCTATGAGACATTTTTGATTCTTATGTTTTCATTTTTACCCTAAAAATATCAAGATAGCACAATATTTTTTCTTACAATTTTGAAGGAAGATTTCTCTAGACAAACAAAATATTCTTGGTGAATGTTAAGGCTAATCAAAAAGGAAAGATACTGTGTCTTCATCAAAGGTCTTTTTATAGATAGAAATTAGTCAAAAAAGTTAAATATGTAAATTATTAATGTTGTTGCTGTAAAAGTTAAAAAACCAAGCCTCTCTATAGTCTAAAGAAACTTGTTCTTATTTCTACTCACCCCCCCTGGCTCTTGAGACTACTTTTGGAATTTCTTCTTCTTTCCTCTCTCTGGAAAAAAATATATTCCCATATTACCATCATAAAAATCAGATTAAATAAAAGCCTTTCAGTATTATTAAAAAGCAAAAATAGCCTGAGATGATTTTCCATCTCTTGTTTTAAAGCCATCTTTATGAATTGAGATAAAAATTGCTCACCCTGTGAAATGCCTTGTCTTTCCAATTGGAAGGTTCTCTCTTCCATCTCTCAGGTTTTCATTCCTCTGAAATGTTGAAAGCAGAAACTTTCAAGTCACACCACGGCCGAGGCTTTTCGTCCATGAAAGTATTTTAATACAAAAACTTCACTCTAGTATTTGTTTAGAAGCATAGTATTGATATAGTAATCACTAGCTGCAGTATATACTCTATCCCACTGTTGTAACGCATGATGTAGAATTGCGATGCCGTCTGCTCGTGGCGGGAGCACAGAGTCACAGCCGCTGTTACAGGATGTCCATGCGAGAACTCCTTGGCTCGGGTGTGCAATAGCTCGGGGAGCTCCCCTCAGAGCTGCCTTCCTCTCCCTGAGCCCGGACCCTCCTCCTCTCTGCCCGGACCCCGCCGAGCCCGCTCCTGCCCCATCCCCCTGCTCCCCGCTTGCTTCCCCGCAGGAGCCCCAGCGCTACACGTCCCTGCAGCCCCTGGTTTTTGGCCGAGCCACTTTGAGGGATATGCTTTATCCAAGCATCATCTTATTATCAAGCCCGAGGCTTTTGCGGGGCGCAGCTGCTGGCGGTGCCCGCAGCGCGGTGTGGAACACAGAGCCGCCCCGTCACCCCTGCGCTGCCGGGACTTTATCTTACACCTCATATTTTATAGCCCATCCTCGGAACGGGCTCTCGTGGCTTTCCTGAGAAACATCTCCCCAAAGTGACTGTGCTGAAGGGGGGCGGCAGCCAAAACGACGGTGCAAACGTGGCCTGACAGACCGCAAGACCCAAGTTTCCTTCATGGAGACAACGCAAGTGTCGCCAGAGCCCGCCCTAACTAGAGATGCAGCAGGGAGCGTGTGCCCCGCACGGCACGGCCGCCCCGGCTCCTGCCCTCGCTGGGCCGGGCTCCCGGGGCCGGGCGGGGCGGGGGGGGCGGCTCGGCCCCCGCAGGGACCCCGGCCCGGCCCCGCAGGGACCCCGGCTCGGCCCCCTCAGGGACCCCGGCCCGGCCCCCTCAGGGACCCCGGCCCCGGCCCCCCCCGGCCCGGCCCCGGGCGGGCTCTGAGGGCGCTGCGGCGGCTGAGGCGGGCGCATGGCGGCGGAGCGGGGAGCGGGGCTGCGCGTCTTCCGCGATGTGAGTATGGCACGGAAGCCATCCTTCGCACCGGGCACCTGCCAGTGTTTGGGGAGGGGGCACCTGGTTTGTTATGCTTTGCCTTTTTTCTCTTGCCTTTTTTCCTCTCCATGCTTCCCCCCCTCCCTCCTTTTATTTCTTCTTTTCTTTCTTTTTTTTTTCTTTTTTTTTTTTTTTCTGACCTGTTATCTCCTCCCTCGGTGGAAGGGGGTGAAGCCCAGTGAGAATCTTCCCCCTTTCCCTTTCCCATTCCCTTCCCCTTATCCTTTCCCCTTCCCCTTTTGTTTCTAATGGCTGCATGTGTTAGGAGAGCAGGTTAGTGTGTTTGGGGGTGGCTAGAAGAGGTTCTGTCACCATTCTAAATGAGTGAAAACAGTCTAAACAGGCACCTCTCTAAATAAGTTACTTCAAATTTTATTGTTTTTATTGGGGCAGGGGGATGGGAGTGCTTTTCACTAAAGTTTCTCACCCTATAAAGGTTTTTGGGTTTTTTTTCACTAACCATGCAGGTTCTTCCCATCCCTTTAGACCCTGATGAATTTGAGGAGCCCAAGGTCAATGTGCAGAGAATCCTGAGCCCCTCAGCCCTTGGAGGGTGAGCCCAGGGAGGTGCCCTGATGAGCGTCTGGCCACGCAGCCCCGAGAGGTGCTGTGCTAGGCAGTCACCAAGGGCATCTTGCAAGGTGCAGCTGTAAAGTTTTTTTGTCTAAATTTGTGCAGCACAGAGTATTTCTTTGTTCCAAGGCAAAGCCTGGTAAAAGGCAAACTTCCATCCAAAGATCTTCAAAGTATCCCCTGACCTTGGTGAGACCTGCAAATCTTGAGACCAACTCTACCACCAACTCTGATCCACTTCAGACCAGCTCTTGTGTTGGCATTATTCCACAAATCAGCTGAAACTGGCATAGCCTGTATTAAAGGACTCTTTATCTAGATGTTTTCTCTAATATGCCCACTTCAACTTCCCCAACCTTTCCCCAAATTATTTCAAATGAACCTCATCTGCTCATCTCCTGATTTCTCTAGCCTCCACAGAAAATTGTTTAAATAAGACTTTTTATTGACTTTTCAATTCAATTCCATTTTCATTTCAATTCAAGTGTATATTGAAAATACAGGTTTTTTTCTTTGGTTGGGTATTTTTGTGGTTTTTTTTTTCCTTTTGTCTCAGAGATACCACTTGTAAAAGAAATGGGAGAATTACAGTCATACATCACAAAAACAGAAGAGAAATCCAAGTTGTCAAGAAAGAGTTAAAAAACATTAAATGCAGCCAGCTCCCCAATTTAACTTAACACACTGGATTGGGAAATTGCACATGGTCAGATTATCTGATAAACTGAAAACTTTTGATTTCACTAAAGTAGAAAAGATTTCAAAACAAAATTATTTGTTTAATTTTCAGCATTTTCTTAAACCAGTGTCACGTTCATATTTATAGGAGAGCAGATACCTTTCACAAACCCACAAATATGAGGAGGCTGTTTCTGTGATTTTCCTCATATCTGGAGGAAAACCTTAAATCCAAGCCATGCCTGCTTCAAAGCAGGGACTGGACCCTGGGGGCCCTTCTGCTTCGAGAGTACATTCATGTCACAGATATTTTAGATATTTGGGGATGTGTAGGTGTGTGATTATTCCTCAGTGAAGTACCCCACCTATATAAACACATTTAAATTAGATCAGGCAGCAAGAGGTTGGCTGTAAGGCTGCACAGAAAAGGCAGGCACTGAGGTCCTGATTCCCCTGGGGAATAGAATTATAAAATTATAGAATGATAAAATGGCATGGTTGGAAGGGATCTTAAAAATCATCCAGTTCTAAAGCCCTGCCATTGGCAGGGACACCTTCCACTAGACCAGGCTGCTCAGAGCTTCATCCAGCCCGGCCTCGAGCTCTGCCATCCACAACCTCCCTGGGCCACCTGTACCAGTGCCTCAGCACCCATACAGCAAAGATTTTTTTCCAAACATCTAATCTAAACCTATTCTCTTTCAGTTTGAAATAATTTCCCATTGTTCTGTCACTAAATGTTCTTATAAATAATCTCTCTCCAGAGAGAGAGACCAAAGGAGAGTGATTTATGATTGCTAAAAGAACCTCTTCTGTGGTCTTCTGTCAAACTCCCTCTCAAGTGTCTAAAGGATTTTAATACTTGCTTAAGGTTGGGGGCAGGGGGGGTTAATTAATTGAAACAAATTAAATAATAATTAAATAATAATTAAATAATAATTAAATAAAATAATAATAATAATTTTAAATAATAATTATAGAAATAATAAATACATAAAATAATTTATTTTAAATAATTTTTTAATTACTTAAACAGAAACTTTTGCTACTCTTGACCAATGGTTATGGGACATTTCATTTGATTGAAACTCCACTGCTATATCCCCTCAAAAGTTCAAGCGTTATACTGAAAATTGAATGTATCATTTATTTGGATAAATAGGGAGGGAAAGTGTCATCTTACTAAGTATATTTCATATTTTATGTGCTGTAAATTTGGTTCAATGCAAAGTTCACCATCAGTGAAGTCCTGGATGTGGGTCACAGCTCTGTTGGTTTCCCTGCCAACCCCACCCTCCACAAAACAATCATGAAGGTGCTCCAAGAGAGCTGGGCACTTGGATCCATCTTGTCTGGTTTCACCTCTAGGAGCAGAGCAGCCATGGCATGTGCTGGAGAAGCTGTTTAAATGCTACTAACATTTTAATAGACCAGAGAATGTTTCCATTGCTGTCAGCTCTCAAAAATATATGTGCAAAAACATATTTTGAAACACTTCAGTGATATTTGCTGCAGCAATAGAAACTACATTTGGAAGATTTGCTTTCTTGCCTTGCCTACACTTGTGGCAGCATTCCCTGGATGATTCCCCATTGCAGTGACACCGAGTCTGATCCCTTTGTGCCACCCAGCTCCTCTCCTGACTTACCCTTTGCTTCCTCCACCCACACAAACCATGAGTCTTTCTCACCATCTCAGATGCTCAGCACATCCTCCCAGCCATCATTCATCTGCTTCTTTAAGCCACTTCTCTCAAACCTGAGTCCAGTATCATGGTAGCCATATGGTACCAGGTTTTGTGCCTGAGCATCATCCTTGTAATCCATAAACAAACTAGAAAATAAAGCTGGTTCTTGTTATGGTCTTGGTTTTCAGTGCACACAGCAAGGGAGGAGTTAAAAAAAGCTCAGAGGGATGGATGAAGACATATTAAGAACTTTAAAATTCTATGCAGCTTTGTGAAAATGTGATGTAGAGCCCAAACTATTAATGTGTACTAAGAACATTGCTTGTTATTAACCCATACAAAAGAAAAAAATGACTCTGTTCTTTCTGTCTCTCTTTTTGTTTAGATATTAAGAAGAGCAGACAAGAATGGTAAGATTTCTTCCACATCTTGCCTCTTTGCTTTGGAAAAAAGAATCCATCATTAATTCAGCATTTTATGTCATGTTTTAAACATCCTAACAGGAAAAGCAGACATCCCTCATGTCATTTTATGTTTCCTGCAGATTCAGTGCCATATATTATGTTGTGTTGTGATCTGATCTTCCCTTCTTTAAGGACAGATCTTATGCTTTCACAATTTGACATTTGTGTTTGATTTGCACTTTGGGTACATGTGAGTGTTTTCTAGTGACACTGACTCAAGAAGGTCTGAAATACTTGTAAGAAGCTCCATCTTATCTTTTTTAAACCACCATAGGCTACATCCAGAAATCAGCTTGTTTTTGTATTTTTTCAGTGTGTCAGTTGGAAGAATAAACCCTTGAATCCAATGCACATATTTATACTACAGAAGTCATAAGGTTTTTATTAACAAGAGAAGCATTGAACAGTGTCAAGCCCACAGATCAGACAGGTTTAACCCTGACAAGTAATTCCCAGTCCAGTCAATCCTCAGAAAACAGATACTGGGTGCATTCAATAAAGAGAAGGCAAATGGATACCATTGAGAAAATCAGTGATAACTTACAAGGAAGAACTCTTGGACAGCAAGTGGCTACTGTACAGTTTGGTGGTATAACTGAGCATGTTGAGTAACTGTGTACTGTTGCTGAGACAGAAATCTCACCTCCACAGCCCACTTCTGTTTGCTATTCCTGCTCCAGCTCATGTGCACAAGACCATGGTAGGCTCCTTCAGAGAGCTCAGGAGCCACAGAATCCATCACTGTGAGAGATTTTTGGCAGTGTTTTCTTTGTTATCTCCCTCAGTCAGCTAGCTTGCCAGTTGTTTGCATGGGCAGTGATGGTGCAAGGTGAATTCCAAGGTGAGGGCTGGCATGGGAAGAGGAGGAGGACTCCCTGCACCTGCAGTGGTGCATCTCTAGCTTCATTACCTGTCAACCACAGCACAGCTCTGCTGGCATCCCCCTCAGACCTGCTCATGGTGTTTGGAATAATGTGTGTTCATCTGCCCTGAAGATTGATGAGGGTCAGAGCACATGAGCAGAACTCATCAACCCCCTGGAGACTAAAAGAGACCCTGGAGCTTTGTGTCCCTGCCCTGGACTTTGGGCTCGTGCTGTGCCAGCCCTGGTGGATCCACTTTGGTGCTTAGGAGCACTTCAGTCCTCATTTGGGTTTCCCCACAGCTCATTACTGTACATCACTGTGAAAACAGGGGGAACAGCTCCCAGTACTGGGGACAAACCAGAGCAATACAAAACCATATCAGCCCCAGAGATTTTGGTCACTGGTATTCCTACCTGTATAGGTTTCTTTACAACATATTATTGGCAGAAAAGTGGCTAAGTTCAGTCACTTCAGTTCTGTTAATGTCCATGAACTTGAAATTATTTCAGCTTTTAGGTTTTAATTGTGTTTGCTCAACCATCAATTGCCCATGGGACTTCCACTTTGCTTATCTAGCAATGCACAGGCTTGTGCCACATTGATAGGGAGATTTGTTTCAAGGCTGTGAAGTTAAGTTCATTTTCAGCAAGGTTATTGGATATGTGACCACTTACTGAAAATGCTTACACTGTTGTCACCATAAATTATTGGTTTTGGTTAATGACTGGTCTACTTACACTTTCAGTGTCTCCTTTCTGTACTACAGGAAATCAACTATTGGCTTTCAGTAACAAATACTACATTACTGTCCATGACACAGCCCTGTTAAATTCTGTTGTATACTTTTAATAGAACCTCCTCTGCTGTATTCATTCATTTTGTGAGATTAAAATACCTTCAGAGAAAATATCATCAAAAACTTTACTAGATTCTTGCTAGACAGCAAGGAAAAAAAATATCAAAAAAAGTGGATGGAGCTGATAAGTAGGAGTATTGTATAAGCATTTTTACTGTGAATTCGTGGCCTGTGGGACTTCAGGTAAGCCTTCCACCACAAGGAAAGATAAATATTCTTGCAAAGGCAGTATAAAATGAAAGACCAAAAGAGCCAAGACATTCCACTGAACTGCTGGTACTCAAAAATGCTACAATAATTTATGGCATTTGTGGTCAATTAAGAAAGTCCTTTAGCAAACAGCCATGTGAATGAAGTCATACAAATGGCTTCTTTCTTTGCCAGCCAGGTACATATATCATTCTGTTACTGTCCTATTTCTGGAAATATCAGCTATGCAGAAATTCCATGAGAGGATCAGCTTCATAAACTCTCTCTGTAGTTCTTATTTCATGGCTCTGCTTTTTGTGGAGCTGATCCATATATCTCCCATAAATGAAAAGGTCATATGATTTTTTTTTAAAGGGAGAACAAGGCACAGGGAAGGATTTTAAAGAACTATATGGTTCATAATATTGACAGAAGCAACAGAAAATCCTGAGGGGAGAAAAAAGCAATTTCATAAAGGTGAGATGCTGCACATTGACCTTTTTGGAAAGGAGATGTTTCAGGTCTGTATGTCAAAATGAAATTTTGGTAAGGTTTACTTTATAGAACACCACATGCTCAAAGGAAAGCATGTGGATTTCACACAGAACTAATTTGGAAAAAAAAATCCAGCTAAAAGGAAAAATCTTCATTTGTTTAATTTCTTTTGCTATTTAAACCAAAATCAAATTCATTAAATTCCTCACGAAAAATAAAATCTTGTCCCTAGCCTTCAATGGAGGGAGCAAAGAAAAAATGGGAAACTGGAACTGCCAAATGCAATCTTTTCTAACTCCCCCCAAAAAAATTCACTTCCCTCATCTCTCAAGAAACAGTGGTTGCCTCACACATATGTGAATGCAGCACCTGCACGTGCTTGTCTACATGAAATGTCTCTCTTATCCCCTGATATGCCAGGAGGGACGTGGGGCATCCCATCAGCCTTGCAGTGACCTGCAGTCAAGTGAAATGATTTCAGTTGTTGGTGAATGTCACCCAGGGGCCTCTTGTGACCATGCAGCTGTGACATGTGCCCAATTAGAATTGCCTCCTGCCAGAATTCCCTCCTCTTAGCACAGGAATGGAATTTCAAATACAGACAACATTGCAGAAGTCCAATCACAAACAGTCTGACTGTCAAATAGATGGGGGAAAAAAAAAAGTAATAATCTACTGAGAATGCAACCCTTGATCTTGCAAGAGTAACAAGGGGAAGGTGCCTTGACACTGATGGCTCAACACAGACCAAAAGCAAGGAGCACCACAAAATAACTAGAGAAAAGTGCCCTGCCTTTGCTGGCATCGTGGTGGGGGTCATTTCTCTTGCCATCCCTCTGGGGAAGAGGACCATTGCCTTTGCCTTTTGCCAGAGTCTGTCTGGATCTCCTCTCCTGCTCTGGAAACATGGCATGCTCTGGCATTTGAGACTCCCCTTGGCACTTTGCAGTGTCCATCCAGTCAAACCTGGAGGGAGTGACTCCTAGCCCTGTCCCCCAGGAGGAGTAGCTCTCAGCTGTCTCTCTCCTCCACAAAATTCAAATTGGTATTTGAGTATGGCCTTAACAAAGGCCATAACTTAACAGCTCCTGCCCCCAAGCTCTTGGATGCCTCTAGGCCCTAAGGAAGGCAACTCTAATATGACAGGTTTGGAAGAGATGGTTTGTATATGGGTGCTTTCATTGATTTGCAGATACAAGTCAGCTGTAAAGAAAAAGCACTGAGTAAAACTATACCTCAAACATTCTTAAAGCTCCTAAGAGGAAGATATTTGGAAACATCATTGGTAATATCTGCCACAGAAGCAGACGTTTTCATAAAAACTCAAAAGGCCTGAACCGTAAGGAACACTGTAAACAGAATGCTTCAGGCATGACTGCAAACAAATGAGGGAAAATTTTAAAAACTGACTAAACAAAAGAAGACTAAAGCTCCATAGGTTGACAAACCTGAATATCAAACAACCAGCAGACTTGCAACAGCATCTTATTAATGTCAGAATCACTGCATTTATGTCTGGTTTAATTTTTTTTCTGTGACATTTCAAACAAGCACTCACTGAAAGCTTTTTTTCCCCCTAAAATATATATATCTTTTTTAATGTATTTGAACTAGGATCTATAAAATGAAAAATAGTCAGATGGGATAATCTTTGAATTCTGTCGTATTCAGTACCCCTGATTTCATGATACAGAGCAGGCACACCAGGCTTTTGTATGTAGAATTCTGAAACTGTATAAAATACTGTCATTATATATGCAGCATATTGATTAAAATAATCTGAGGATTTCAGCCCAGCTCTAAAACCATGCTAACAGTAGCTTAATAAAAACTGTGGGTCATAAATAAAGGATTCCTTAAAATAAGGTGAGTGCAGCAGTAGCACCCTGTCCCTTTCACTGGTGTCAGTGACCAAAGGGATTGATTCACAGATCATAGGCTTTTGAGTGACCAACAAGATTTCCAGAAAATAACCAGAACATTTCTGATGTGCACCTGTATGATCATCAGGAGGAAATCTTGCAATGCCTACTCCAGAGTCAGCTTTGCAGAGACCAGAATAGGTGTTTTCCTATTCATTATTTATTGACAGTGCCTTTTCAGATTAAACACTGACTTTGCAGGTGAGTCTTCTACTATCTGTGCTGGCTCATGTGTCTGTAGGTGAGCTCTGTCAAGGTGAAAGCTGCCTCACTGCAGCAGTTCTCAGACTGGGATTTGTCAGTGGTTCTAGTTTGTTTACCAGAGTGCTAGTTCATACTGTGCCTGAGGATTAAGGGAATATGCCTCTGAGAGAGGACACAGCTTGGGAAGGGGATCTCTGGAAGCTTCCCTAAAGTGAACTGTCAGAGCTGGCCTGCAGGCTCTCAAGATTGCCACTTAGTGGGTTAAACTTTTTTCCCAAGAAAAATTTTGGAGTTATACCAAAGCACAGAATGCAAAGTCCTTGATTTCAACATTTTGTATCTAGGCCAGTATCTCCTAACCTGTGTCTATAACATCCTGTCATCTCATGAAGTCTTCAGCTAGCCCAGAGACTGCCCCAGAAGCTCTGCTCAGTGGCAGCTGCATCAGTGCACAGGCTCTCCCCACCATATGGTCTGGCCAGAGAGGTCACAGCATGATGGGGTGACACAACTCCTGTGTGACCTCCCTGGAGAAAAACAGCAATGTGCAGGAATCCCTTGGGGAAGCTCGGTGCACCATGATACCCAGAAGAGCCAGGTCTGAATGGCCCAAAGTGGCCATGTTTGAGCTACAGATTTACTGAATGACTTTGCAGAGCACATTTTCTAAACAGAAGCCAGAGGACAGAAATTCTCTGAACTGTAGCATCCCTGATTTAAGCTCCCAGCTTACTCAGTGAATGGATTAGTAAGGCAAAACCCTTGGAGTATGTCCCATGAACTCTCACCATGTTGCTGTTTGCTTCCATCTGGATCCACTGCAGACATCATCCTGCATCCTGTTCCAGAGCCCAGGCTCAGCCTGGGGTGGGATTCCCCATGCACCCCCTGCGTCCTTCAAGTGCTGCATGGCTGGAGTCTGTGCTACAGATCCCCAAAAACATTTCTGTAGAAATAACCTAAACCCTCTCCCTGTTAGCCTTGGAATCACTTGGTTACTTGTGTGAAGCTTTTCTAGCATAAAAGATGGAATAATGGCTCAAAATGCTTATTTCTGATTTTATCAACATACAATATAGATCAGAGTCAATAAAAGCTTAATGCACTTGTCCAGACTCTCTAAATTTTCATCCACGTCTGTGCTTTCTCTGATGCAGCCCCCTTATGATTGGGACCCAGTGGATATTATTGGCATGCTTGCCTTGGCACACTGAAATTAGTTATTTCGGCAGATCTTTCTTGGTCCGATTCCAGCCTGTGTGCCATGTGTTAATGAACCACGTGGGTTTCATCTTTTTGCATCTGGTCCAGTCCATCTATGTCTGTTGTGATGTGCCCCCCTGCACTACCTTGTTTTCTCTGTGCATAGGGCAATAGCACACAAGTAATCTGTTCCAAACCTTTTACAGCAGGTGGGGACTGTCAGTGCCTTCCAAAGGACAGGTCCCACAGCAGGTCCCCAGGAGCAGGTGAGCTGGGAGGAGGACGCACGTTCACACTGCCTTCCCAGTGTGTTTGCTTCAGCCACACAGGCTCTGTGGCTCACGTGAAACACTTGAAGGCTTTAGGTTCTAAAAAGGCAGATGGATTCAAAAATCCATAAAGGGCTGTCACAACACCCACAAGAGAAACTGAGCTCCCATTGAGAATTGCGAGGGCCTGAATGGGTCTGTGTTTTGGCCCTTGGCTTTCCCATGGCAGAAGTGACTTTGAGCACTTTGAGTCATTTCCTAGTCCCTGTTGTACCTTCCTGGTGAATAACTACTTTCTGCCACGGGGAGTTTTTCCATTTATTAATATCATTTGTTGTTATCTCTTCTTCCTTTGCTAATTCTGCCTACAGCGGCAGAGATCTGTTCTTATTGATCTGTGCTTATAAACAACCTCACTGCCCTGGTAGTGTGCATGCTGCCAGCCTGGAGGCGGGTTTGGTGTGGCCACAGCTCTCTTCACAGAGAGCAGCAGGCACAACTTACCAAGGATTTTTCCTGGGAAGGCAGTGAGAAACACAGAGAGAAGAAGAGAAAACAATTCTTATCTCTATTCACTGCTCCTGTTGTTGCACATGTGGAATATGTTGTGGAGATTGCTTACCCAAAGTGATTTGGTTATTGGACACCGGTGAAGGTTGTTTTGATTCCTTGGCCAGTTGGGTCAAAGCTGTGTCCTGGCTGTCTCAGACAGTCACAGGTTTTTCTGTAGTGTAGTATAGTATAGTATCTCTTTAATACAGTTTTAATATTATTTTAGTGTAATATAATATCATTTAATAAAGCAATTGTTCAGCATTCTGAATCATGGAGTCAGAGCACATTATTCCCAGCTTCAGGGGCTCCCCACAATAATAGGTTTGGCACTGTCTGATTGGGCCAAGACAGCTATGAGGGCTCAGTTATCTAAATCACATCCTTCTAAGGTGAACCCCAGCATGAGCTTTAGCCAAGAGTGGTTCTCCCCTATGATTGCCAAAAACTCTTGCATGTGGCTCTTCCAAGTTCCATAAGTGCTAGGGCTGTCAATCAGCCATATGAGCTCCATCTGATGTGGCTCCTGCTATGAAAAGACTCTTCTTAAACCACTTAGAAAGACTCAGAACCCTAACAGGATGCCCAAAATAGGAGAGAGTGGAAGTGGTTTAATTGTCCTCCAGCATTTGCTGGCATCTCTGTGAGACATCCTTCTTCTCCACATCACTGTAACTTCCTTCACCGGCTGTAGTCTCACCATTTGCCATTATCTTTGTGCACACAGGCTCCAAATACCTCTGTGCCCTTGTCCATTTTTCACTCGATACCTTTTAGCTTGCTGAAATCACCTTTCAACTCAGAGACTGTGTGTGATTTTCCTCTGTCAGATATGCTGTTCTCTACTGAAGGCATCAGCTATCTAAAGAATATTCTGAAGATTATAGTAGCATTTCTGCAGCCGACTGGCTGGGGGATATCGCTTGGGCGTATTTTACACAGAAAAACATCTACTCAATAGACAGGTAAATGTTACTGAAATAAATGTGAGAATGCAATTGTAACAAGAATGCAATTGTGGAGGAAGGCTCCTGTAAACCACTGTGTGAATCTGTTTCTAAATTTGCAAGTGCAATGTGGGGGAATTCGTTTTATTGTTTATATTTTCATTTTATTTATTTGTCTGCCAGTTGGGAGACAAAGGAGAACAGGTGACTGTGCCTGCTTATAAAGAAGCCCTTCTTTTGAAAGATGTCAGAGAAGACAGACAAAAGCAAGCAGGTCTTGCAAAACAGCTTCTTAAATAACATTGCCAAGGCAAATACAGCTGAAGGTTGATTTCCCTGATGGATGCACAGCTTCAGAGAAGTTTATTTCATTACTCATCCTTCCCCTGTCACTTTGCCAGTGGCAAGGATTGAAGAATCTCTAATAGAGGTTTCTGCTCAGCACTTAAACCAGATAGCGTTTATCTGGGCACTCCAAGGGCACTGAGGTGTGCCCAGGGCAGTGGTGCTGAGGACACATGACACAGCCTTTAAAATAAAAGCTATTCTTGACACTTGGGGGGGAAAAAAGCTAAACTGTCTAGGCAAATGCATCTTCAGTTTAACAGCACAGGGAGCACTTGTTCAGCGTTGGGTCTGAGCTTCATCTGAGCACTGAGGAAGCACAAGGATGGCCTCTGGGAGTGAAGCCCTCCCCAGCTGCTCTGGCAAAACAGTTACACAAAATCAGAGAAGTGCCCTGGTTAATCAGAGCTGGTTTTTTGGTAAAAGTAACTCTATGAAGTCTGTAAGTACCAAACAGGTTCAAAAAGTCCTTGTGTTTTGCCAGAAACAATCTCAGTGATTTGTCACTCAATGTCAATAACATTCAGAATGTTATTAAGAATAAACAGCAATGAACCAAAAGGCAATGTCTGCTCTTGGATGACAAAAAAATAAAGAAAATAGCTAAAGTACCCAGTCTGTTGGTGGATCAGTGATTTTCTGGATTGAGATAAAGCCAATGATCCTGAATGACTGAAACAGACTTTTTTTTGTATTTTGTGTCATACCCCAGGCTGTTCTATGGGTAAACTCATATGTTTATCTCAGGAAAGTTGCCAAAAGTCATTGAGTATTCTCAGTCACAAGTATTCTTGAGTATGTGTATAACTTGCCTGTAAATCAGCCTTCCCAGCAGAGGTAGTTTGATTAAGCAATTGATTGTATCTGTAAGAGCCAAAGGAAGCTTATCTGTGAGAACACTCAGCTCAACACACTCAATATTTGATATTCCTTTTCTGTAACCAGAGCCAAATGGCAAATGTATTTAGATTCTCAACTAGGTAATCATTGCAGTTTTGTGCCATCTTGGTCTCTGGCTCTTAAAGATCTTGACATTTTATTTTGATTTTAATGATGATCATCTCCAGCTACACTCTGTCTTTTCATATTAAACATTTCAAAATGGTTTTGTTGAAACAGACGTTTAATTTGTACAATTTTGAAACCTCTTCACAATATCTGAAACCATATATTCCAGTCAAATTATGAAATAATAGCAAGTAAAAGAAGGAGGAAACTTCTCAGCTCTACTCTTCAAATCTGCCTGCTGTAGTACAGCATTTAGTCACAGGAATTAGAGAGTGCCTTTATAATAGGTTCTTCACCACTATAAAATTAAGTCACAATACACTGTAGATCAGTCTGATGCTTAGAACATCTTAGTCTTATCCTCTACAGTTTTGGGGGTTTTTTTTGTGCCCTGTGAGGGATTCAGTATGTTACTGTGGGAAATAAAGAAACATGTGAACTTACATTTAGTGCTACCCAAAAAAAGTTGTGAAGTGTTAGGCTATAAAAACATTCTTTATGCTTCATGCAAAGGCTCAATCAATTTAGATAAATCATTACTTAAGTACAATTTAATCTTTCAGATTTCTTCTAAATAACAGGAAAAGGTGTATCTTTATTTGACTTTTGTTTGCTGATTATTATCCTTGCATTTAAAATATAAAGTTTCTACATTTAAGCTAAAGACCTAGAAGCTTTTAATACTTTCCTCTTTTACTGCATGAAATAAACAAGAAAAAACATGAATTAAATTAAGTCAATTTCCATTTCTTCATTGTTTCAGATGATGGAAAACTGTTCTTTAATGAATTCAAAACTTACTTTTCTGATGGAGTTCTGAGTGGAGAAGAACTGCATGAGCTTTTTTACACCATTGATACACACAATACTAAGTGCACCCTTCTTACAATTCCAGTGCCCCTTTCTGTACCTGCAAATGGAAAACAGACCTCAGACTGATTTTAAGAAACAAGTTTATGTAGAAAGGTGCTTGAAGGAAGCCAGGCTGTGTCATATGGCTATAAACTGTATAAGTGAAGAGTTTTGAAAACTCACTGAAATATTTGCATATTTCAATGTTCATATTTCAATAGATGTGATTTGGGTACTGAGAACACAGGGTGGAAATTGGATGCTTTCTGCATTCCCCCACCATGGAAAGAAAAGGAGCTCGGGCCTCCTTCAGGCTTAACTGTGAATTCCTCAATTCTCAATTCCACTGAGTCATACTGAGATGAATACTTGGAGCAGATGTTGAGAAGGAAATAAAATAAATGAAGCAATTATATATAGCAAAGAGTTGTGCTGGTGTGTCCCTTGGGATATTCCCATTATGGCTGGGTTTAACAAGGCCAAGGGGAAATAAGCTGACAGGAACTTCATGAAGTTCAGCACGGAGAAGTGCAAAGTCCTGCTTCTGGGGAGAAACAAGCCCCAGCTTTTGTGGGAAATGGAATCAAATTAAATGTAGTAGAGTTCACAAGATTTTAGAGTTTTTACCAAAATAATGTCCTGAAGTAAGCAGAAGAAATGGTATTCGATCTGTTGGACTTGTGGGGAATAAAAAATACTACAGGATTTATGAGGTGATTAAGGGATGGGGTGATGGAGACAGGGAGGGGGAGTCACCACCCTGGAGATATTTGGGGGATTTGGCAGTGCTGGGTTAACAGTTGGTCTCGATGGTTTTAGAGGTTTGTTCTAACCCAAACAATTCTATGATTCTATGGTTCTATGCACCAATAAGTACTGGGGCCCGCTCAGCTGCAAAACAGCTTGGCAGAAAAGGATATTGGGTGGATACCAAGTTGAAAATGAGCTAACAATGTGCCCTTATGGCCAAGGTCAATGAATGACCCAGAGTCAAAAACTCATTTCAGAGCCAAACCCATTCATACAGCTTTAGACTTCCTCATGTGTACCACATATCTGTGTAAGTGGTTTTATTTTAGCATAACTCCATTTGTCTGAAAGCATCCTGATAAGGGCAGAAATTCTTGATACTAAGCAAGATTTCTAAGAAAAAAATACAGATATTCTCCATCTATTTTTCCCTCCTTTTTATTTGTAAAGTTTTAAAAATAAATTGATGATGATTATGGTTATTATTATTATTATTATTATTAATATCATTAATAATAATAATAATAATAATAATAATAATAATAATAATAATAATAATAATAAATCTGAAAAATATGTAGAAAAGTGAGGATAACATTATGTTTTTCCTCCTGGTAGATAGGCACACCTGAAGAATTGGTGCAATTGTTGAATGCTGCTGCTATTAATTGAAAATAGGTAATTAAACTGTCATGACAGCCATCTGAGAGAGAGGTCATTTTCACTGTCCAGAAAAAGCCTGGCAAAAATCTGGGCACAAAAGTTTCAGAGTAAATGCTGTGAAGAGTTCAGTGTTCATGTATTTCAGGGAATGGAGCAGGTGGAAGATTAAGAGAAGCTACTAAATTACCATTTTGAACCAGAAGAAAGGGTGCTCTGTATTGATGGATTAACATTTGTTACAGGAGGAGGAGGAGAACCTAGATCTGGGTAAGAAAATGTACTTGAGACTTGGATTTAAAACAGCAACAAGAAGATTTTGAGTGTTTTTTTCATGGAACCTTGAACTGATGAAAGGCTTTAGGGTGACTTTGCAGCTGAAAGGTATTATACCATGCTTGATATATAACAGAGACAAATACACTCTAAAAGCTTTCCTCTACCCCTTTGTAAGCTTTTGAGGAAACCTGTCAGCAAGGTGTCATAGGCCAAATATCAGATGGATATAGCAAAGAGAGACAGCTTGGCCAGTATAATATAATTTCCTTGCTAACATAACTTTGAAAAGAAATAAAAATCACATGGAGCAGATATGATGAAGCAAAAACTTTACTCACTGGCATTTCCTGAAAAGGGCAAGTTATGGTAAAATGTCTCAAATTAATGAGCTAGCTAAGAAAAGTAGCAAAATGTTCATTGAACCTTGGGAAGTGTTTTAATGTAAGCATTAGGAGAACCATGTACATATCAAACAATCCCCAGACCATCTATTTTAAGATTATTTTTACTTTCAAATTATCCAATGGAATGAAATGAAAATTATGCAACTCAGAAGTATTTTATGGCTGGTTTTCAGGAGGGGAGGGCAAAGAATTCTGCTCAATTTTTTACCTAGTGGGAGGAGATTTGCACAGATTATTTTTGCCTTTCTTATCCAGTTAAAATGCAGACACTGTCAAACTCTGGGCAAATCTTTTATCTTCTCTCTGCTTCACTTCACTATTTACAAATTGCAGACTGTAGCTCCCTATCCCAGGAATACTTCATAAGCATTGTGATTATGCAGTGATTTACACTTCACATGAATGCCTGGGACAGATGTCTAGGGAAGCATGTCATGATCCCTTTGTTCATTTCTTGGAGTATCTCAAGATTTTGTAACCATCTTGTCACAAGAGCAGACTTTGGGATGTTTCCACCTGCATTAAATCCTTTAGCTCTGCCAGTATTCAAAACCTCACTGTCTGCGTGCACAAGTCTTTGTACTTTAAAGCCTCAAGATGAAAAAGGAGATGTGGCCTTGGGGTGATAGCCATGGACCACAAACTCAGGCAATTTGAATTCCCTTCTCAGCTGTGCTGCAGCAATTTTCCAATAAAAGATTCAAAGCATGAATGACTTACACTGGCTTAACACTTCTAAGGAAACTAAATTAAGCAGGTATTAAACCCCACTATTACACAGGTCCTAATGTCAGTCTGGTTGAAGTGAGATTTAGATTATTAACTTTTAAAAAGACCAATCCAAGCTAATGCAATATGCTTGTCACAAAGCAGATAGGCTGTGGAAGACTGCTGAAATGAGTAATTACCATTTCCAGTGTGATAGCAGGGAAAATAACAGAGGGTTTAACTTCCCAATAATTCAGGTTGTGTATGCATGACTGACTAGGATCTCTGCACCTTGGTATTTGAAGCAGTCAGGTGTTCTCTTTTTACAGAGTAAAAGGAGTCAATTAGTGCCTAATCAGCAGGAAAAACACAGATGAGTAAGAATTAGTTACTGCCGCACCAAGTTTCCAAGACATAGGTTGAATAGGAGTTTATTATGACAGGATGAATTTAAATGTACATTTTTTTCCTAGACCCTAAAGTAGAGGTTATTAATTCAGGGCAGATCATTGCTTGTACTGAAAATTTGCATTAGCTGAGGGTATTTCCTCAGTTTGGAATACATAACTTGGACATACATTTTGCGGTTTTTGAAGGTACTTCCATGTATACTATTTTTCTTTCTATTTAAAAATATGTACCTTACCTTTTTATGACATTTGATATATTAAATAATTACTATTAAAGACACAGTGTATAAATTGATTGCCTCAATTTTTTAGCTTCTTTTTTCCTTTGGACACAGCCAGAAACAAATGCATAAGACAACCGAATTAGGTGAAGTAGCGTATCGACGCAAAAAGGAAATTTTTTTCCATCTTTTAGTACTGCTATGATATTTTACCTTTCTTGAAGGTAAGCTTTGATTAGGCCATACAATGAGCATTGCTGACATGTAATTGCAAGGTGACTGTTTTAGGGGAGTAGCAGTTAACCATTCTCCTGTAAGTGCTGTTTCCAGTATTGTTATTACTTCAGAGTGAAGCTGAAAGCCAATTAGGCATTTGACTGCCCCTTAGAGCCTCTTCTATTTGTGCTTTCCAGGAGCTCATGAAACCTTTGGGCAATCACATACCATTAAATGGTATAAATCAGCAGCTGTGGAGGGTCCACACTCAGATGCCCTCACACTGCCAGTGGAAGGAAAGGCTTTGCATTGATGCAGAAGGGATCAGGTCGAGGCTGTTACAGCCACATCTCCAGGTTCTTGTTTCCTAGCATGCATTTTCTTCTACTGCAGTTTCCTGTACTTAAAGACCCAGAAAAAAACCCCAACCAAACAAATACAGGTAGGAAATCAAGAGCTTTGACTTAAGCTTCAGCCTGGAGTTTGTACAGTGATTCTCCTCCCCTTTTCATAATTGTTTGCAGGTAGCTCCAATATAAACACACTCTAAGCATCTGGGCAGCTTAAGAGCATCTTAGGCTCTTCTAAAGTTATCAGGAAGCCAAGGTAGATCCCCACAGTTTCTTGAGTAGGAGCCAGGCCCCCAGAGTAAGAGTTAGACCAACATAAGTGCATATCTGTGAGCAGGGAAGGGGCAAGAGGAAGAGTTTATTTTTCTGTCCTGATTTGACATATATTTGACATGCCATCCATGTTACACATCTGTAATGTCAGTTTGGACCTTGGTCAGTGCTTGTCCTAACACTTCAAAAAATCTCAATGTACTCTATTTGAAATCTGAGTTAACCTTTTTGGAGGTTTGTGAGGGTGAAGGAAACCCAGTGTGGTTCCTCACCCTTCTCTCCTCCCCCAGTCTGATCTCCAAGCTCCACATGCTCAGTGAGGCTCTGCAGGGCTGGTGGGAGCAATGGGAAGGCTGTTGGAGCAGATGTGAGTGCTGCAAAGGCACCAGAAGACTTTCTTTGTGCTGACAAGGAGGGTCATGAGGAACATGGTCTGCAGGTTGTAGTCATTTTGGAGCTGAAGTAATTTTGGAGATGAAGACCCACATACTCTGCTGTCTCAGACCATTTTGGTTATTAAATGAATGCAAAACATCCTTCATGTGAAACAGTGTTGAAGCACAGTTGAGGAAGCTCTGCAGAAATACTGCTGTTTTGTTTATATGTGTTATTGTATGAATAATTGTACTGAAAGTAGAGAAAGGTATCAGAAGCACAGGTTTTTTTGTACATGGAGAGAGAAACATACAGGAAAAGTTTGAAATTAGTGGTTTAAGGGGTGAAGGCTGTTACCATTCATTTCTTTGGTA